ACTGTCTCCTCCACGTTATAAGATGTTATACCCACATCACGTGGGGACTGTCTCCTCCAGGTTATAGGATGTTTTACCCACATCACGTGGGGACTGTCTCCTCCAGGTTATAGGATGTTTTACCCACATCATGTGGGGACTATCTCCTCTAGGTTAAAGGATGTTTTACCCACATCACGTGGGGACTGTCTCCTCCAGGTTATAGGATGTTTTACCCATATCACGTGGGGATTGTCTCCTCCAGGTTATAGGATGTCTTACCCACATCACGTGGGACTGTCCTCCAGGTTATAGGATGTTTTACCCACATCACGTGGGGACTGTCTCCTCCAGGTTATAGGATGTTTTACCCACATCACGTGGGGACTGTCTCTAGGAAGGATGTTTTACTCCACATCACGGGACTGTCTCCTCCAGGTTGGATGTTCTACCCACATCACGTGAGGACTGTCTCCTCCAGGTTAAAGGATGTTCTACCCACATCACGTGGGGACTGTCTCCTCCAGGTTATAGGATGTTTTACCCACATCACGTGTGTGGACTGTCTCCTCCAGGTTAAAGGATGTTTTACCCGCATCACGTGGGGACTGTCTCCTCCAGGTTATAGGATGTTTTACCCACATCACGTGAGGACTGTCTCCTCCAGGTTAAAGGATGTTCTACCCACATCACGTGGGGACTGTCTCCTCCAGGTTATAGGATGTTTTACCCACATCACGTGTGGACTGTCTCCTCCAGGTTACAGGATTTTTTACCCACATCACGTGGGGACTGTCTCCTCCAGGTTATAGGATGTTTTACCCACATCATGTGGGGACTGTCTCCACCAGGTTAAAGGATGTTTTACCCACATCACGTGAGGACTGTCTCCTCCAGGTTAAAGGATGTTCTACCCTATCACGTGGGGACTGTCTCCTCCAGGTTAAATGATGTTCTACCCACATCACGTGAGGACTGTCTCCTCCAGGTTAAAGGATGTTCTACCCACATCACGTGGGGAGTGTCTCCTCCAGGTTATAGGATGTTTACCCACATCACGTACTCCAGGTTATTGATGTTTTCCCCACATCACGTGGGGACTGTCTCCTCCAGGTTATAGGATGTTTTACCCACATCACGTGGGGACTGTCTCCTCCACGTTATAGGATGTTATACCCACATCACGTGGGGACTGTCTCCTCCAGGTTATAGGATGTTTTACCCACATCACGTGGGGACTGTCTCCTCCAGGTTATAGGATGTTTTACCCACATCATGTGGGGACTATCTCCTCTAGGTTAAAGGATGTTTTACCCACATCACGTGGGGACTGTCTCCTCCAAGTTATAGGATGTTTTACCCACATCACGTGGGGATTGTCTCCTCCAGGTTATAGGATGTCTTACCCACATCACGTGGGGACTGTCTCCTCCAGGTTATAGGATGTTTTACCCACATCACGTGGGGACTGTCTCCTCCAGGTTATAGGATGTTTTACCCACATCACGTGGGGACTGTCTCCTCTAGGTTAAAGGATGTTTTACCCACATCACGTGGGGACTGTCTCCTCCAGGTTAAAGGATGTTTTTCCCACATCACGTGTGGACTGTCTCCTCCAGGTTATAGGATGTTTTACCCACATCACGTGGGGACTGTCTCCTCTAGGTTATAGGGTGTTTTACCCACATCACGTGTGGACTGTCTCCTCCAGGTTATAGGATGTTTTAACACATCACGTGGGGACTGTCTCCTCCAGGTTATAGGATGTTTTACCCACATCACGTGTGGACTGTCTCCTCCAGATTATAGGATGTTTTACCCACATCACGTGGGGACTGTCTCCTCTAGGTTATAGGGTGTTTTACCCACATCACGTGTGGACTGTCTCCTCCAGGTTATAGGATGTTTTAACACATCACGTGGGGACTGTCTCCTCCATTTTATAGGATGTTTTACCCACATCACGTGGGGACTGTCTCCTCTAGGTTATAGGATGTTTTACCCACATCACGTGGGGACTGTCTCCTCTAGGTTATAGGATGTTTTACCCACATCACGTGGGGACTGTCTCCTCTAGGTTATAGGGTGTTTTACCCACATCACGTGTGGACTGTCTCCTCCAGGTTATAGGATGTTTTAGCACATCACGTGGGGACTGTCTCCTCCAGGTTATAGGATGTTTTACCCACATCACGTGGGGACTATCTCCTCTAGGTTAAAGGATGTTTTACCCACATCACGTGGGGACTGTCTCCTCCAGGTTAAAAGATGTTTTTCCCACATCACGTGGGGATTGTCTCCTCCAGGTTATAGTATGTTTTACCCACATCACGTGGGGACTGTCTCCTCTAGGTTATAGGATGTTTTACCCACATCACGTTGGGATTGTCTCCTCTAGGTTATAGGATGTTTTATCCACATCACGTGTGGACTGTCTCCTCCAGGTTATAGGATGTTTTACCCACATCACGTGGGACTGTCTCCTCCAGGTTATAGGATGTTTTACCCACATCACGTGGGGACTGTCTCCTCTAGGTTATAGGGTGTTTTACTTAGATATGGTTTATCAATTATAGTTCCTTTACAATATTGTTATTAATTATATGTCCTGAATATGGTAGATTCACTAACCAAATGTCAATGGTTCCTGTAATTGAGAGTTTGTGATGTCGACTTCGGTGAACATTTATTGTAATTACGTTGACCAAATTGTGGATAATGCTAGCCTTTTTAATGAGTGTGGTGTGATTATGTTTTGTGTAAGGTTTTGTAATGGTCAAACACCATGACGAATGTCAACTCAGAGATCTCATGAATGAATCATACAGATATCGAACGTGATATTAGCTGATAAGATTACAGATATCTTCACTAGGTCGAATGGAGGTGAGCATAGAAACACCCAGTGGAATATCTCCCAGCGTCAACAATAGCATCTTAATTAAAAGTAAAACTTAATGTCTCCTAGTCTTGGGCAATATCCTGTCGGCCTGGTGATTTTATATTGTCTACCTATTTCAGCACTTAAGCCTTTGTTGACTGGCGACTATCATGCGTAACCTCTGGTCCATACTAGCATATCATTGAATCCCTACGTGGATAAAGTAGCTTACATGTTCTTATAGCGTGTCTCCCCCACGCAACGACACACATGTCCCAGGTTGGCCAAAGCTAACAAGAGTATATGAGTAAACATTACTTCGAATGGGATGCAATACTGTGTGTTTGGTTTATCCCAACCTAAACTAGTATAATTATACCCACATACTGAGTATTCCTTATTACACGAGACAGCATACTGGTGCTCTGATGCTCTCCCTTCCCTCTTCCTGCTCACTCCACATCATCTCATAAGAGTGCTATCGTCCAGTAGACAGAATATATAAACAACTGAAGCTGTGTTTCGTGTTGTTGTAAGCTCTAATATAAACATCCATCCAATATGTGGAACTGCTTAGCAATCATATTTTTTGTGTTATTTTATAATTATGTGCTTGGCAATTTTGGATTGCTCTAGTGTTACATTACATTAATATTACATTACTTATAGCTGTAATAAAATGTATCTGTTACTTAGTGTGTGAGGAAAGTCAACCCATCGGAGACGGGGGGGGGGTAGGAGAGGGAACACTGTAATATTTTGATTATTTATTTATTGTCTCACAACATTTGGTCAGTAATACATGATAATATAGGTATAATTAACCACACCACTAACAGGCACACACTTACTAATTTCCGATACTACATTATTCTCTTTATTACGTATTGATAGTTTGCTTAATAAATGCTGGGGTGTAGCTGGAGACGCTTTACCTCGCCCCCTCCCATCCCTATGCTAACCTTCCACTCCGACCCTCCCCCCCGTCCACTAGCCCGTCACCCTCCTCACACACCGGCCCCCGGTCCGCCACTCCACGTCACGAGTGACTGCTTCGGATGAGGGTTCATACTCCCGTGGTTCACAACTCTCGGAGATTAGGATTGACAACAGGAAACATTGACATTTGGGTCGTGAATCTACTACATTCAGGACAAATACCTAATAACAATAATGTAAAGGAACTATATTATAGATATTTGAGAGTCCATATCTGGGTAAAACACCCTATAAATTGAGGGAGTGAATATTTCGGACGTGGATTGATACTCTCGTGGTTCACGACTCCGAGACTAGGAATGACAACGCTGACTGTAGCAAGTGGATGTGTGAGAGGGTATACATTAATATTTGAGGGGAAGGGGTATTACTAGGGTATTACTAGATTAGATAGACTTTATGACTAGGCTGTCGGAATTATATATATATATATATATATATATATATATATATATATATATATATATATATATATATATATATATATATATATATATATATATATATATATATATTTTTTTTTTTTTTTTTTTTTTTTTTTTTTGCGGGGTGATAATTTTTGACGCCCGGTGACTATTGTTCTGCAGCCCTGTGGATTGGGACTGCCTCACCTGATCTCTTCAAATCGATACAAGAGAGCCAATGTGCTATATCACTATTCTGGATCTACTTTAATTCATTTGATAGTTCTAACAAATGAAATTTTGTCTTTTACTTTTTCTTAATCTATAATCATTAATCATTCATCTACTATACAGTATATTGGAAATTATAACAATATCAATTTACTGGGAAATTTACGTGGTTATTACATTTCAGTGTTATGGGGTAAGTTACAGTGATTTAAGACTTCCAAACTATTTCACAGGGCTTAATAACCATTCTACTGGTTCATAGTTACAATACTTTAGGTTAGTTAACATTTCAAAATAACTTCATCATTCACAATATTTTGATATGTTGTTACAAATAAATGCTGATTTCAGCCTTCTTCCCATTCTCTCTCCACTTACTAATATTTACAAAGAGGTAACTAAATTAGTTCGTTACATAGTTTTATTTCATCAAGAAAATTCACTTTTGTTATTAATTTAATTAAAACTAAATCAGTTACATTACACTCTCTCACCCTTCTCTGTAGATTCCTTAACCGACCAACGCTTGTCGTGGCAACAGAGGAGGTCCACGTCCAGAGAAATGCTAATGGTCGCAAGAGTAACTTCCTGGAGTACCTATCACAAGGCCTTAATTTTACGTGAGCTGAGAGTTAATGGTTGTAGAAGTTATGGGTAGAGAGTGCTGGAGTGTTATGGCTGATGGGTGAGGGAGTGGGAAGGTATGGGTGGTGAGTTATGGGTGGAGAGCGATAGGTAGCAGATGACACGTGGAAAGTTCTGGGTGGAGGCTATTGGATTGATGGATATCGTTTTGAAGGTTGTTGAGTGCTAAGTGGGTAGTGCTGAATTGATGGATATCGCAACTATGTGTGAAGAGTAGTAGTTGAAGATTGCCTGACTGATGAATTCAGAGAGCTGGATTGATGGAGGAAAATGCCGGGTAGAGAACGCTATGTAGAGAATGTTGGGTGGAAAATATTTGATGGGAATCTTGGGTTGAGAATCCTGGGTGGAAAGTGCTGGATAGAAAGTGTTGAGTGGAGAGTGCTGAATAGAGAGTGCTGAGTGGAGAGTGCTGAGTGGAGAATGCTGAGTGGAGAGTGCTGAGTGGAGAGTGCTGAGTGGAGAATGCTGAGTGGAGAGTGCTGAGTGGAGAGTGCTGAGTGGAGAGTGCTGAGTAGAGAGTGCTGAGTGGAGAGTGCTGAGTGGAGAGTGCTGAGTGGAGAGTGCTGAGTAGAGAGTGCTGAGTAGAGAGTGGTGAGTGGAGAGTGGTGAGTAGAGAGTGAGGACGGGTGGATCTCAATGAATGAATTACCCCTAGTTAGTCGACAATAGTACACTCTAGATATAGATAGGCTTTTACTTTAATACTCAATATTGATCTTGTGTTCAAGCCATTTTTGCATATCATCTGTGAATTTGTTCAAAAGAAGCATCATTTCCCTACCGTAGGTACAAGTACGTGCACCCTGCTGATGGGACGTTTGGTTCTGAACAAGATGACGGGTCGTGGTCGGGAATGGTAGGCATGGTGAGCAGAGAGGTAAGTGGTATGAAGCGTCAACAGTAAACAAGGTGAGAGTTTCTTGCCGGGTATGCTCGTATGTTTGGTGATCAGGTTATGAGCTAGTTGATAACTTTTAGGAATCGTTGTAAGGCTGTTCTTCGTCGGGCCAAGCGGAATTTTATAAAACAGAAGTACCGATGTACTGACTAATTCTTCCTATAGTAATTCCTTCTGGTCTTTAACCAAAATCATCTGTAATAACTTCTACACTCCCTCTTTTCCTCCTCTCTTCCGACCTGATAAATCTATAGCTAACTCTTTGTCACCTGACTCTCCTCTAACTCCACCTTAGACGATTCCAACTCTATTCCTCCTACTCCTGCACCTCCTACTGAACCAATGCACTTTCCTATAATTCCCACTCTTAGGGTTGCTGGTGTGTTATGAATTTTGGATGTGAGTAAGGCACATGGACCGGACGGAATACCCCCTCGTGTTCTGAGAGAATAGGCTGAAGTTCTGGCCCTTGTGCTTGCTCGCCTCTTTCGCCTTTGCCTCACAACCCAAACTTTTTCTTCTTCTTGGAAGCATGCCTCGGTTCAGCCCATCCCGAAGAAGGGCGACCATTCTAATCCCTCTAACTATCGCCTCATTGCCCTGACTTCATCCCTCTCTAAGATTTTCGAAACTATCTTGACTCTCCTCCACATTTTCCCTTACCCCTAACTCTCAAACTAGATCTGTGTCTAGTGCTGATATCATTACACCTATCAATGCAGATGTGTGCAGCATCTCCGAATGGGGAGGCAGAAACTTGGTTAAATTCAATAGTAATAAAACTCAGTATTTACCAATTATACATTCCAAATTTGATGATCTCCCATCAATCACATTTCAGGACGCAATCATTTTGCCAAATTCTAAAATAGATATGCTAGGCCTCACCATTTCCTCTAATATGTCATGGAAGCAACACATCCACAACATTGCTAAAGCTACCTCCCAAAAGCTGGGAATGTTGTACAGATGCCGTAGCTACTTCAATCCTGAGCAGTTGCTTCAATTATATAATGGATTCATTCGCCCTAACTTGGAGTACTGCTCTCATATGTGGGGTGGTTCGTCTTCTGGCCAACTGTTAGATAGGGTGAATCAAAATCATTTCGTTATTTGAACTCTCCTCCTTTAGTTGATAATCACTCTTCCCTTTCTCTTCCCGCAATGTTGCTTCACTCTCTCTATTTTACAGGTACTTTAACGGACAATGTTCGGTGGCTTTGGCATCTTGTGTACCGCCAGCAAGGCCGTGGGCTCGTAACACACGTCTTGCCCGCGGTGCCCACCATTTCTCTGTGGATGTCGGTCATAGAAGAATAACCCGTTATAGTACATCCTTCTTTCCTCACACAGCCAAACTGTGGAATGCTCTGCTTTCTTCTGTGTTTCCATACTTATACAATCTGTCTCACTTTAAAAAGATGGTTTTCTGGCATCTTCGTGGTGTAGATTATTATAACCTTTTCCTTTTATATTTTTTATTTTATTTTTTTTTTCGGTCCCCCAGGCCGTGATGTGGGTCGATGACCTGTGCCCGGTGGGCTATTCCCCATAAAAAGAAAAGAAAGAAAAAAAACGGTACTAAAAAGTCTCCACTTACCGTCTCCCCGTTCATCGATGTTTCGTCTTTCCTTAATAAATTCGGGAAAGTGTATGCTTAATACCGCTATGCTTGGCTAAAGTGTCGTTGGCCATCATATGTTTCCGCTTAACTACGCTGTGTGGTGGAAGATCACATAGCAGCACAGAGTACCCAAGTCGCATTCCTTCCTCAGTGTAGTCACGGTGTTGTAGCCCGCAACTTATTACTATAACCCTAACATCATGATTCCAAAACACCTAAAAAGTGACAGTGCAGTGCCTAGTACAAAGGAAACCAGAAAATAGTTACCTTGGATACTAAATAAGAGATTTCAAGGCGTTTTGATGCTTGTGAGCGAGCTGTACTCTTTGATATCGTTCTAAGCTTGTCTCCCATCACTGTAAGAGCGGGGTACTGTTGAGCCATTGCTCAGTGAGTTACACCCCTAATGCTATGAAAATTAACAAGTCCTGTTGCAGTAAAAAAAAAAACAATAGCTTGCGCCAGTCAACGGGAGCCTTGAACATGGGTCGAGACGTGACAAGTGACGCACTGCCAAAGGGATGATACCGATTCACCTCTTCCTGAATCACTCATATCCACGTCTACATTATTCTATTATACATTGTACTAATATTTAAATTCGCATTGTTTAATGTCATGAGAACAGTAAAAAGTGGGTTTAGTTGGTGAAGTTCGGCTGGTGGTTAGCTAGCAGTTGCAGGGTGGTGTGAGAGGTTTAAGTGATGCAAGGCCGTGGGAAGTTGGAACACGCACGTCTCCCTATATAACTCATTACATAATCTTATTTGATTATGCATTCTTACTCTACTGTTATTGCATTCTTATTATTACAATGTCAAAAGATTGGTAAAAATGGATGTCGATGGTGGTGGCTAATATAAGACAAATGTGTTATGATACGTTTCATTATCCTTATATTTGAAACTCTTCATATTTTTATATAATTACATACGGTAGATCTCCCACCAATCACATTTCAGGACTCAATCATTTTGCCAAATTCTAAATTAGATATGCTAGGCCTCACCACTTCTCTCATATGTCATGGAAGTCACACATCCAAAACATTGTTAAAGCTGCCTCCCGAAAGCTGGGAATATATATATATATATATATATATATATATATATATATATATATATATATATATATATATATATATATATATATATATATATATATATATATATATATATATATATATAATATCCCACTTCCATGTGCCTATCCAACTTCGTCTTGAAGCTCCCTAGCGTCCCCGATCCTACTATAGCACTCGGTAGCCTATTCCACATATCCACAACTCTATTACCAAACCAGTGCTTGCCTCATATCCTTTCTGAATCGGAATTTATCTAATTTAAAGCCATTTGTTCTAGTTATTTCGTTATTACTGAGCTCAGAACATCTTCCATTTTACCCTTGTTAATCCCACTTTCCCACTTGTACACCTCATCATATCTCCAACTTTTCTATATATATATATATATATATATATATATATATATATATATATATATATATATATATATATATATATATATATATATATATATATATATATATATTATAATTTATTTTTTTACTGCTAGTAATTGATGGGTTTCTATCACAGGAGGCAGACTTCTCGACTGGACCTTTCAGTCTATCAGCCAGCCGGGCTGAGGTAGTGGACTTCACCTGGCCAGTATCTATATCGTACTCAAGAATCGTAGCTGGACTCGGACGGCCAGAGCTGGACCCATGGGGCTTCCTGCTGCCCCTGGCACCACTGGTGTGGGCGTTCATCCTGGCGTCGTTACTGCTGCTGCCTGCGGCCATGTTCATCTTGTCTTTGTGTTGCTCTATGAAAGATACTGACCAATGGCTATGGGTGACGGATGGCTTCACCTTGCTCCGCATATTATTACAACAAGGTTAGTTAAACCAAAAAACTATATATCTATCTATCTAGCAATCAATCTATCTATCTATCTATCTATATATATATATATATATATATATATATATATATATATATATATATATATATATATATATATATATATATATATATATATATATATATATATATATATATAACAAAGAAGTATGTGTGTTTGTGTGTCCTCACTAGAATCTCGGAAACTACTTTACCGATCTGTAGTGATGATGATGGATGGTGTTATATGTAGTGATGATGGATGATGTTATATGTAGTGATGATGGATGATGTTATATGTAGTGATGATGGATGATGTTATATGTAGTGATGATGGATGATGTTATATGTAGTGATGATGGATGATGTTATATGTAGTGATGATGGGTGGTGTTATATGCAGTGATGATGGATGGTGTTATATGTATTGATGATGAATGTTGTTATATGTAGTGATGATGGGTGGTGTTATATGTAGTGATGATGGATGGTGTTATATGTAGTGATGATGGGTGGTGTTATTTGTAGTGATGATCTATATCAATATAAAACAAAGAAGTCTGTCTGTTTGTCTGTGTGTCCACACGAGAATCTCAGAAACTACTTTACCGATCTGTAGTGATGATAGATGGTGTTATATGTAGTGATAATGGATGGTGTTATATGTAGTGATGATGGTTGGTGTTATATGTAGTGATGATGGGTGGTGTTATATGTAGTGATGATAAATGATGTTGTATGTAGTGATAAGAACATAAGAACATAAGAAAGTAAGGAGTCTGCAATAGGCCAGTTTGCCTGTGCATGGCAGCTCCTGTTGAGAGTTACTACCACTCTCTATCATCCATGTATCTATCCAGTCTCCTTTTGAAACTTTCCAGCGTTCCAGCACTTACTACAAAGTTGCTAAGCTTGTTCCACTCGTCCACCACCCTATTTGTGACCCAGTTCCTTCTTATCTCTCTCCTAAACCTAAACTTATCCAACTTAAATCCGTTGCTCCGAGCCCTATCCTGCTCGGATATTATAAGAACTTTATATATATCCCCTTTATTGATTCCTTTCACCCACTTCAATACTTCTATCATATCTCCCCGCATTCTTCGTCTTTCTAGGGAGTGCAAGTTTAGTTTCTTTAACCTGTCCTGATATGGAAGGTTTCTAAGTCCCGGAATCATTTTCGTCATTCGTCGCTGCACCGACTCTAGTGAATTGATATCCATTCTATGATAAGGGCACCAGAATTGAACCGCATAATCGAGGTGCGGCCTGACTAGCGCAAGATATAGTTGCAATAAGACGTCTGCACTCTTATTACTTACACTTCCAGATATAAAACCCAATACTCTGTTTGCCTTATTTCGAACATTAACGCACTGTTTTCTAGGCCGTAGGTTCGGGCTTACAAGTACCCCTAGGTCTCTTTCACAAGTTCACTTCTCTAGATTGATGTTGTTAAGGCTGTATACATTGACAGTATTTGTTCTTCCAATATTAAGTACGCTGCACTTGCTGGTGTTGAATTTCATTTGCCATTTTTCAGACCACCCCTGCAGTTTATTTAGATCCTCCTGTAATGCATTTGCATCCTGCCCTGAATTAATCTGCCGCCCTATTTTGGTGTCATCCGCAAACTTGCTTATGTCACTGCTGATCCTAGTATCTAGATCGTTTATGCAGATTATGAACAAGAGTGGGCCTAGTACTGACCCCTGGGGAACCCCCACTGGTTACACGGCCCCACTCAGATTTAACACCATCTACGCTGACCCTCTATGTTCTATCGGTGAGCCATGATTTTATTAAATTTAAAACTTTCCCCTCGATACCATGAGCCTTAATTTTTCTCAGAGGCCTCTGATGCGGTACTCTGTCAAATGCTTTGTTAAAGTCTAAGTAAATAACATCGTAATTTTCGTCATTATCTACTACCTCGAAGACTTTCCTAAAAAAGTGTTAGACCTGACCCGGTGAAAGTGAAAGCGATCTCAGAGATGCCACCTCCCACCACAGCCAGGGGTGTGAAACAGTTCCTCGGCGCCGTCAACTTTTTCAGACGTCACATCCCTCACTTTTCTGAGGTGGCCCTTCCCCTTACGAAACTTACGAAGAAGTCGGTTCAGTTTAAATGGTCGGGGGAGGCAGATAAAGCTTTTAACCATCTCAAGGACCGATTGAAGTCGGCAACAATGTTGTTACTGCCAGACTTCACGCAGCCGTTTTACGTGCACACTGACGCTTCTGACGAAGCACTGGGAGCCTGTCTAATGCAAGGTGGTGAAGATAACCCCACCCCTATTGCTTATTTTTCACAGAAATTGAGTGGAGCTTCCCTCCGCTACTCCACAACTGAGAAAGAAGCCTTGGCTATTGTCAAGGCCGTAAGTTCCTTTGATGCTTACCTATTTGGTAGACACTTCTATGTCATCACTGATCACCGTCCTTTAATGTATATATTCCAAGGTAAAACTCCTAATGCACGGGTAGCACGCTGGGCAGTCTTTTTAAATGCATATTACTTCTCCATTTTGCATAAGCCAGGCAAGAACCACGTCGTGCCAGACGCACTGAGCCGTAATGTATTACCTATAAATGATGTCGGGAATCCTAGCAGCATTACTCAACCCATTTTTGGTGACCTCTCACCTAATCAGGTGCGCCAACGTCAACTTGAAGACCCACAGTGGGGTCCGGTCATTGTGTTCCTTAAGGGGGGTCCGCTCCCCAAGAAGGTCAACAAAGCTTCACTTTGTGATTTCAGTCTTTTAAACGGAGTCCTGTATCTTGTTTCTACGAGACACGATGACGAGCAACCCACAGAACTCGTAGTCGTCTCCGTATCCTTGGAAAACTCGGCCCTAGAAGCAGCTCACTCTTCCCAATTCGCAGCCCACCCGGGTGAATGTCGCACATATGCACGTGCACGCTCTATGTTTTTCATGCCTAATCTAGCGCGGAAAGTTGGGTCATTTGTCAAAGGATGTCTGCCATGTCAGTTAAGGAAGGGTACCCCAAAGAGACAGGGAGAGCTGCAGGAGTTCCCACCAGCCTCTCGGCCCTTGGAACGGGTATCGATCGATCTAACTGACATGACAATACGTTCACATCGGGGAAACAGATACGTTGTTTCCATCGTCGATCACAATTCACGTTTTGCGACCTATATACCCATCCCCGATAAACGCGCAGAGACAGTGTGTGAAGCCCTATTACAATACGTTGGTACTCATGGATGTCCCCGGGTCATCGTCAGTGATCGAGGGACAGAGTTTACATCTAGCATCTTTCAGAAGGCATGCGACTTGCTGCGGGCTAAGTCAAATCTCACCACTAGTTACCACCCACAAGCTAATGCCATGGTTGAGCGTTCCCACCGCACATTGAAAGACCACTTGTCGTTTTTGGTAAATTTCCAGTGCGGCGGATGGGACGATCAGCTACCTCTTGCACAACTGGCCCTGAACACCGCAATTAATACCACCCTGCATAACACTCCTTACTTTCTTCACTTTGGTAGGGACCCAAATCTCCCTGCTAGTGTCATCAACCCCCCACCCCTATGCTATGGCAAGGCCTACCCTTCTATCTTGCAAAACATGTTACAAACGGTCTTTACTCAGGTTCAGGAACTAAACAGGAAAGGTCACTTACACAACGCCACCTACTATAACCTCAGAGTCACCCCTCCCAACATTACTATAGGCGCCCTGGTATTCCTAACTAACGAATCATCCACCCCCGACACCCCCTCTAAGTTGCAACAAAAATGGCAAGGCCCATATAGAGTAACCGCCCAACCCAGCAAAGTAAACTTCACTATTTCCCCGCTTTGCCAGGGGGGACGCCAGGAAACTGTGCATGTGAATAGATTGAAGCTGGCAACCGTCGACGATGACGTATTAAACAAATTAGGCCTCACCAACCAGCCCCCTCTAGGAGTAACATTCCCCTCCCAACACCTTATCCCTCCACCAGCAGCTGACCATCCCCCTCAGAACAATGAGGGGCCTCACACCCCAAGTAATAATCAGATAATTCCCCAACCCACTACCCCACTTGTACCAGTAATACCTGATCAGATAAGGGTTCATAGATATAACACTAGATCACAGAACATAATTCAAAGTAACGAGTTTAAGAGGCCCTTCTAATTGTTGATTCTCCATCCCGGGATCTTGGCCTTCTGCCAAGTTACAGAGTCAGCACTGCCCTTGCTCTTCACGAGCCTGGGCGAGGTTTCTCTGACCACACAAATTCAGAGATGACACCACTACAACCGCAGCTGACCCCCCACCAGACGAGCTGAGACCAACGCATCCTTACTCATAATGGATGCCCGACGCGAGCGGGACACGCAGCGGTCAACCCCGCGGCGGATATGGGTTACGCCTTGTTTACTGCTGGCCCTCTTCCGGTTGGAGACACTGGGCTGAGTCTCGTCCCTCGCCTGCAGAGCGACGAGACACGCACCGAGGCTACAGTCTTACAGCCCACTATACCGACAGACAACATCGACGGGTACCATCACCCTGAGCAGCCACGCCATGCAGGACCAGCGCAGCAACTAGCTCCAGGCAGGAAATCAGGTCGCCCCCTTGGAACCCGGGAGCGAGCCCCGAAACCCCGGCCTGCAACTACAGTAGCAACAATCAACTAGAGGTCCAAGCGGCGATGCAGACGACAGCTCCCTACGTTCCAGGACCCGTCAACTGGTCCCACTCACTTCCACTCCTGGAATGAAACCACTAGGTACCGGACAAGCAATGGCCGACCCCGGCCCCACCCGGGATCTACCTCGCCCGTGTTTACCACACCATTGGGAACGCAACAAAATTGACCTGACTACAAGCAGAGGAAAAGACAAACAAACCCTGGTGAGCCCACCCAGGGAGGGATCCACCACTGCGAGGGCGTGGGACAGGACGGTCAAGGGTCTCGCCGACACTCACATACGGAGGGCGAGCCCTCGTCCACGGACCCTGCCCCACAAGCCATCCAGA